GACAAATCTGCAGCAACTGTGTGATGCCATCATGTCAACATGGACCAAACTCCCTGAGGAATGCTTCCAGCACCTTGTTGAATCTATGCCATGAAGAATTGAGGCAGTTCTGAAGGCAAAAGGGGGTCAAACCCGTTACTAGCATGGGGTACCTAATAAAGTGGCCGGTGAGTGTACATTTAATCATATTGATTTAGCATAAAGTTATGTAGAAATGAATTGAATGTGTTAAGGTTTCAAAGAGAACTGGTTTGCCTAGTTTTTGTATGGGTGTGTTTATAGGAATAGCTAACTGCTGGCTGTTTTGTGCTATGACTAATATGTGGTTTCAGTTCAGGCCATACATATCTAAAGAGCTGAAGGGGTCAGTGGTGTTTCTCATCAGGGGATTTTGTTCTTATTTATGTTTGTGATAAAATGGATGGTATGGCTTAGAGCTCTGTCAGACTTCTACACTCTAATATCAAGGTGCAGCACTGATGCTCTGCTTCCCTACAGCGTGTTCTCTCAGCATCTTTGCCCATCAAATGGCACAAAGCCCATTATGCCCTGCCATGGGCGCACTCACACACTCATGCATGAAATAAGACAGGACACTTTTTTTCTGCAGAGCAGACAAGCGGCAGCAAGATAACACAGAGCTCCAGTCCAACTCAGCTGAAAGGTTAGCTCTTGCTTTCTATAAACTCAAAGGAAGGGGTATTTTGACTAGAGGTCTAAACTTAGCTCTTAGCTGAGGTTTACATTTTAACCTTCTGGTTAGGGATTAGGCCACTACCAGTTAGCATACGTTTCTAACTTAATTTGTAAATGAACTGTTTTTTAGTCACACTGACTGCAAAATGATTTCCCTTTCCAACGTGAACACACGTCCCAACATCAACATGTGTGACAGAAGGAAGCTAGAATTGAACCTAGAATATTAAAGTCCGCTACTCCTCTCAACATTAGATCATGGCTGCTGTAGATCATGACTTCCATTGCTGTTAATTTGGATCTAATGAAACTATTCGTATTTAATAATACAATATGCAGTTTAAATAAAATGTGTGGTTAAACTGGGCTATATGCAACCTCATTGTAATGGACAGACATTTTGTTTAAATATCTGAAATATAATTAGTCAAACCAAACTAGCATAAGCTGCAATATTTTAAATGAAACCAATATTAAATAATATAATGTTTACTGAATTGAATGTGTGGGTGAGAAATTGAAAACCAGACAGAATATTGATAGTAGGGCGGCAACTATTGATTATTTTATAGTCTATTGATACATCGATTAATAATAAGATAGCCAAAGGTTCTTTAAAGGAGAGTTTTTAGTAATTTCATCTCGGTGAAACTAAAACTTTTCCACTCGAAGAGTTCTGGCCAGAGCATAGTGACATAGGAAATCATTTTTTAAACCTTAAATGCAAAATGTTAAAAAAAATTTTTTTTATAATTTTGATATAATTGATATAATTGCTGCTCTGGGGTCTCTATACTCCAGTTAACAATTAATTGATTACTAAATGGGTTGATGATTATTTTATTAATCGGTTATTTTACAGTTTTTTTATGAGAACAGTTTCTCTAAATGTGAATAAAATCTTCTCCTGTGAGATTCACACAGACTTAGAAATACTTAGAAAAATGACTGTCCAGGGTGTAAACTAAAACATTTTAGTCTAAAAGGATTAGACTCATTTATAACTTTAGAATAGACACCACCTTCTGTTTTTTACTGAATGTGCAATGGGGGCATATGACTTTGTTAAAACTGTAACCATCTTTTCTATAAATGCTTTTTTCTAAAATGCAAATCATTTTGATCTGGATTTCACTGTGAATGGAACTAACATGTGAAATATAGATATATAAATATAACAAATGGAGCCTAGGCAGAAGTTCAACTGAAGAAACTTTTTGCTTTCCTTCATCCGCCTGCATCACAGCCAATCAGCTTTGAACCACACCTCCACAAAAGCCAATCGGCATCCAAAGTTAATCTTAAAAGGCCTCCCATATGCACCTGTCTGCTCCTATGCATGTGCGGCGGATGCTCTGTGTGACTTCATTCAGATGACACAGTTTCAGCCCTCCTCCACCATCGTAGCTAAAGCGTCATCAGAGTGCCATTTCTCCTGGACTCTTATTGCGTTTCCTGTCTCATCTTAACCGGTCTGGAAGAAGACCACCATGTTGAGCCTGGTTCTGCCAGAGGTTTCTTCCCAACGGGGAGTTTTTTTTCTCTCCACTGTTGCTCCATGCTTGCTCATCATGGACAGGTTCTCTGAACCTGTGTTATCCAATTGGACTTCCATCTTCCAGGTCCCTGAGTGAAGCTCTAGTATCAGCCCAAGCAATCCACTGGATCTCCCCATACAGCTCAGCATACCGTCTCGCCACCCAGCAGTCTACAGACTGACCAACTTTATCTATCTCCACTACACCACCAGTTTCAGGCCTGGGGAGAAACAGCCCTATTCTTTGCTCCTGCTCATGCATATCTATCAAAATTAAGTGCTATGGTTCCTGAGGTCTGAGGGCCAAAGACAGGTAATTGTATCAATAAACTTCTCCTAATCGTCTTTTCTCTTCATGTGAGTTTTTCAGATTGAATTCTGTTATAAACCTTTTGGTCTATGCTTCTCTCAGACAGAAGAGAAAAATAATCATCAAACTAACTAAGAAAGAAAACTAAAAAATTAAAAAAAGGGTAGAAAGCTTTAAAAAAAAAAAAATCCTCTCACCATTTGACCTGCCAGTGCATGCTTTGGAAATTTCAGTCTGGAACACTGAATCCAAACGCATCGTGTTATTAACACCTCTAACTTTTCCTCCATTTTACAATTGATGTTTCTTTATAGTTATAACCACACAGTCATTTATAGCCTGTACAATGTACAGTGTACATTATCTACATCTACAAACAGTCTCCTCCAAATTACCAATAAAAATACATCTAACTTTACTGAAACAACAGAAAACACACATTTCTATTTTATGTAATCCATTATAAAACAATTCACTGTCCTGCTACAACTTTTTGTCCTTCATGTACTTTTGCAATAGAGATTTCTGACATATTTCTTTTATGGATTTAATATTCCTACAAGGTCCTCATCCACAGTGTTTCACACAACACACTATGCACATGTGCCTTATAGCTGTAGGTCCTTTTTATTTTCTAAACCTTAGCTTTCCCCTTATTTCATAATCCCCCTTCCTTTCAGTACATACTTTCTTCTTAATTATTTCTCACTCTGTATATTATTTGACCAGTTTTAAAATTGAGAAGATCCATACATTTTTAAATGTTTAACTTTAGGTATAATGAATGTGTGTGCTCTATATATACCACGTTTCAATTTATCCTGATTACTCTTCAATGTAATGTGTAAACCAGCCCTAATTTGTATGCATTTCCCCAAACTTCTACTTAGTATTTTAAACATGACAGCACCACTGCACAATATAATATTTTCAGGGATTCCTGTTTTAGCATGTTTTGTTTTTGCACTGCAATACTTTTCACCATGTTTTCCTTTATTTGGTTAATGTGATTTTATGACCAACAATAAAACCCAGAAATCTATATCTATATATGCAAAATTGTATTTGAACCATTCATTTTAAATAAAAATAATTAAAAAAACATATTTCTGTTTTAATTATATCCATGGAATATTTCTTTAAATTCTAGTTACAAAATGTTCATTGCTGATTTGAATTCCCCGAATAAAATGTATTGGTGTTGTCTTTTAAATAATATACACTGTGCAAAAATGATCTAGAAATAAGTAAAATTGGTTTTAATTAAGTGTATTTACTAGGGGTGTGGGGAAAAAATCATTTTGGTGATATATCGTGATTTTCAGCTGCCTGATATAATATCGATCTTTCAGTTCCTAGTATCAATTTTAAAAAAATACAAAATATTTTTACCTAAAACTAAGGGGAAGTGGGCTACCTCTGCACCGCCACTCTGTCAGATGACACTGTGGAGATCTTTTGCTTTGCGGTGCTGCACCATATCTGTAGTGGAGGCACTAGACCCCTAAACAACATGGATACCAAAATAACTAAATCATCAATATCTTCTGATGAACATACACAGTACTGTTTTTTTTCCTTCTATATATTTAATTTTAATAGGGAAAAATATTGGAATATATAGTAACATTGCAATGTAGTGATCCAAGTACCGCGATACATATCGTGTTGAAACCCCCATGCTGATACTCACCCCTAGTATTTACCCTTCATTTGACTATGTAAATAAGATGATTTGCAGATGGAATAAATATTTTTACAATTAAAATAAGATGATTAGATAATATGCACTAAAAATAAGGCAATGCAATTGTGTTTTTATTATTTTAAATGTGAATTGTCTTGTGCCATTGTCACCTCCTCAATTAAATAAAAAATTCACTTTAGATATAAAATTTTTTTACAGTGCATTAAAAGCCTAGTATATTATTAAGCCTTTGTATTTTCTCCAATATGGACCTAGCTTTCAGATTAACTGTAAAGTGCCTTGAGATGACATGTGTTGTGAATTTGGCGCTATATAAATAAACTGAATTGAAATTGAATTAACCTAGACATTTTCAGCAGATGAAAGAAATGTTTTAGAAAGAAAGCACAGTCTAGAGAAAGGCTTCCAGAAATCACCTCTAAGAAGTCAAACCCATCACCACACCACACAGCTGTTAAAGAGACAGTGGACCAAACTAATCAACTTCTATGTTGATCTGGCAATATGTTTTTGATCCTGTTGAGAGATCAATTTTAGTTTAAAATCATCTGGTATTTCATATAATTTAAGTTTTCCAGCTCAACGTGTCTCATATGGCCTTTAGAAAAGAAGCAGGCCCATTGCATTACAGATCCTTCACCGTACTCAATACTGACCTTCAGTTACACTTCAAAATGTTCACATTTTGCTTTATACTTCATGTTAATTTGGTCTGTTAATTTAGCAGCACTGTCTCTTTAAAAAGCCATTAAAAACACTAGTTAATTCCTATTTACCTGTGTCTCTGAGTTCGGTTACCTCTAAAAGCACATCATGGTTAGTTTCTGTTGCATCCATTTCCATCGTAAACTGCACAACTTGACTGTGGTGGGAGAAACAGAGGGTGAACATGAGAAGGTGTGTTGCTATCTAATGTTAGAGTGGATTAGTTTTTTACTAAGAAAAACAATGGGAGTAGAGGGACATGGCTCTGAAATCACCCTGAACAGCAGCATTCAAGGCAGCTCAGCTTCCCCATGTGCTGCTTTTCATTTACTCTCCACTACCTCCAGTATTGTCATGAGAAAAGGTTGCTTTATTAGCTCTTGCAGAATGGCTGAGAATGGATAAAGCCTTCGCTGTTTGAAGTGCAACATGAGCACTCTGAAGCCACTCTGTTTGGCCTTTCTTTTTAGTTCAGCTCAGGCTTACAGATGTTCCATTTAAAAATTCACACATTTTCAAAATCCTTTTTGTGTGACAAATATTCACATTTGAGTAAAAAAGTTGCTTTTACGTTTTTAATGTCCGTGTGTAAATAAGTTGAGCATAAAAAAAGTAAAAAACAAATCCCCTTCTAGTTAGTGCTGTGTTGAAGGGTCATTTCACTTCATTTTTTTACCCTCGCTTCACATTTCTTCAAAAGTCTATAAAAACTAAGGCTTCAAAATCTGGACTAGATTATCCAGTAGTAAATGCATATTATTATAAAGCAGTTTGTGAGGATTTATATATTTTAGCTATCAAAACTTCTATATATATAATAGTGTTTACACTTAACCTAGATTTATCTAAGAATCACAAGTCAAACATTAATCCAAAGTCAAGGACACGAAAAAAGCAACGATTACACTTTGTTTAGTTTGGAAGATTGTGTGTTCAGACATTGCATATATTCATATTTTCTTTGTAAAAGATTTTTTAGTTAAAATAATATCAGACAAAATTAATCTGAATGGATATAAAGTACACTGTTAAAACATCAAGCCCTCCCATTTTAACAGCCTGTTAAAGGTCATAAAAAACAGTAATTTGAAGAAGGAGGTTTAATGTTGCTAAAACAAGCTGCCAGTGTCACAAGTTCTTTTACATCAGTTTTAACACTAAATATGCATCTTAAAAGTGAATCAAACATGGCAGAAATAACCTGGAAAATGTGCCATGGATGATATCCTTAGAAGCCAAAAAGTCTACCATTAAATTTCTATTACTCCAATGGCCTATTGCAAACCAGCAGGCGCACCTGTTTGGAGGGGCCTAGTAAAGGTCAGAAACTGAATTAGAGTGAAATGCAGTGAGATGACCTTAGGTAGTTTACTGATGATCAAACCGTATCCAATGTGGCTAAAAGTATTAAATATGAGAGTGCCAAAATCCCTCCATAGTCCAAATAACTGTTTAAAGCAGTGAAGGATGGAGAAAACAATTATTTAGGGGCAATTATTTTTAAGCAGAGGGCCTGTTTTCTATATTAGCTAAGGATACTTTGTCTGACTTAACAGTTAGGAAGCAAGACGTTTCATAATAAAGTGCAAAAATACCAACAAGCAGAAGAAACGTGCAAAATAACAAACCTACAAAGCGCTACATCTGCTGGTTCTTTCAATTAATTTTAATCCATGAAAAAGCCTCACTAGAAGTTGAGTTGTGATGTGACATAACAAAGAGAAAGAAATAATTAATGTTTAAACTTTTGAATTCTGAAAGTCTGGCTGAAAATGTTTAAACTTCTGAATGCTGAAAGTTTGGCTAAACCTTAATGTGGCCAGTTTATTCCAGACTATTCAAGAAAATACATGTAAACAGTAAATTCTACGTGATGGATTTTATCTCCCACCAACATGCATGAATGACCGATTAAACCGGAGCTACAGCATGACTTTCTGTGCTATTAGATAGTTGAGAGCAGATGACAAATCACCAAAACAACCGCTTTCTGGAGCCGCATGAGTCCTCCAACACACCTGCCTTTTCTAGAGTGCCTCTCTCAAGCTACAGGTTTTCCGCTGTGCTACATGTCTGCAAAGAATCTGCATAAAACCAGATGGTGGGTAAGACAGTAATGGTAGAGCTGGAGAGACGTCTGTTATCTCCAATGGGACCAGAATGTACTGGGCTTCCTTCCTGGTGATGACAGACAAACCGAAATGTCTCCTGCCGAAGAAAGGAGGCTCTTTGTTCAGTCAGAGCAGAACAAGGAGCAAACAGGCATGTTTGGCTGTAGGAGTCGGTGAACACAGACAGGCTGTGTGCAACAGCGTCTGCTGCTGCTGCCAGGAAGGATTCTGTTGATTTTTCAAATTTCATCGTACCGTCTCCACTGAGGCTTTGGGGAAAAAATAAGGGAACATACAGAACCATAGGGAATAGAAGGTTTGGGTTATAGTAGTTAAGTTAGTCTCAAGTTCAGGACATGGAAATGGCATAAAAGGTGACCTTGGATGGTGTAGGAAGAGGCCCTCCCAAATAAATGCCTACAAAGTTCTTGGCAGCCTGGGATAAAGCCGCTCTATCCTTCCAAAGGTAACTCATATCTGAATGTAAGTGACATCCCATTCTTAATAAATAGTTTTATGTGATGTTGGTCCACATTTTGGCGTGTTTCAAATCCTCTTGGAAAGTCTTCCTTTTTGAGGTCAGACACTGTGGTCTGGTGTGAACAGCTGACTCAAACTGTGTTCCAATTAAGAAGTATTTGTCACAACCCACAAGGTTGCAGTTTGCTAAGATAGTACCTTCTCTTCCATGTCTATTGATCTGGGTCTTCTCCTTGCATTAATGACACATTTTCAATATTCTGGCAGATTAGACCATATTTTCCTACACTGTAACAAGGTCTAATGGATTTGGTGAAGCAATGGGCCCATAGCATCACAGATCCTTTTCCATACTTCAGTGTGGGTATTAGATGCCTTTCAAAATATGTTCATACTAAACTAGGAGCTCTGTTGTCTCATCTGATCACAGCACAGTTTGAGTTCAAGAGTTTAGCAATTCACACGTTTCTCCACGATCTCTTTAACTACCAGTTTGCATGTAAGGAGTGTCTTGTAGTTGTTAAGGAGATCTGGTAAAACAAAGATAACACCTTTAGCATCACTTTTCTGTTAGTAAACATTGAAGATTATATTTATTGTGCTTATAATCTTGCCTCTAGTGCATAATCAGAAGATAGATACAGTATGGGTCCTTATGCAGCCAAAGGGAGCTAACAAGCTGCCCTCTGTATCCTAATCATACATGCAGATTGATTCATTCGTTTTTAGTAGATTGCATCAAGTCATTTAACACCTTTTCACACATCTTCACCTGCACACTTTGAATCTTGAGGTGGTGATTCCAACAAACTTAATCTGCAATAAGAACGTTTTTAGGAGCTGCAGTATCTTTATAACCTGCTTCTCTGCCTTCATCCTATTCTTTGCTTTTTCTGAAATCTGAAGTCTATTTGAAGCAACCAAGGCAAAACTATACAGATGCAACTCTTAATAAATCAATCACTAATATTTATCACAAACAACAGCTAAAAGTGTTGTGCTGGTTCCCCCCAGCAAGTGCAAAAAGCCAGATGTAGATTATTGCAATGCTGTTCACTAAGCAGCGGCTGCAGTTCCTTGCAGTGAAAATGAGGCACCATGTAAATGCACTTGACATTTAGCTAAGTGTTGGGTAATACTAAATCTGGGAAATAAACATAAGTGCTATGCTGTGATTAATCACCATCTGTTCACTTTGAAACAAAACACAAACTGTGAGCTCCTTACAGTAATTGTTTCAGACATGCTGCTGCTGAAGATAAAACTCTCCAAGCTTCAGTGGTTAGTTAAAATGTAGTGATGAAATAGTCATCAAATTTTTATATTTATTTTCCAAAGGTGTACTGAAAGTGAGTGTGTCTGATCTGTGATGGCGATGGGTTTTATAAAGTTCCTACGTTTCTGAAGTTTTAGGGCAAATGTTATTTCTTCTAGATGAGTGAATAAAAAAAGGACCCTCATCCAAAGTATTTATCATAACAAAACGAGGACCAACAGTGAAGTAGAAGCATCTTTAAGAAGAAATTAAACATTAATTCAGAGTTAGATGTGTGTTTGAGCAACAGCTGTAAGCCAACTTTACGGGTGTGTGGCTAAATGAGAAAAAGTCTCACCCGTGTCCTTTGTCCTCAGATAACCCAGCCATTAAGAAACATAAGTGGCAATAAAGACATCCATAATTTGTAGAGAATCGTCATCCCTGCACTACACATTTTTTTTTTTTGCCAAGTGCATTAATGTTTAGATATTTATTTATATTTATCCAACCTGAATGTAGATTTTGCAACCAAACAGCGTTAATCTACAGGTACATACATCTAAATCTAGCATCAGATGCATCAACTAAAACTCTCTCTTTTTCTTAGAGTATATTTCGACAGTCTAGAAATTTAGACAGTTTTTTCACATATATTTCTTTGCAAAACAGCACAAAGTAAATTGGAGGTAGAAGATCTGTGATTATCAGCTGTCAAATTCTGCTTTGGATTAAAGTCTGGATTAAAATCTGGATTTTCGGCTGCTCTACCATATGACCCAGTCCAATATGAACCATCCCACTGCAGCAGTGGGTGAGTTCCTACTGGGAGATGAATCTTCATCCCTGACTTTTCCAGCCTCTATCAAAGTTTCCTCTAGCATGACTTCACAGTGGGGATTTCATCTAAAGGATGATTTGAAATATAATTTCAATTGCACTACCTTCCGGCTGCTTCTGAAGTTAATACTTTCCTAGTCCAGCCTGTCAGGTTAGGCATCCTACTCAATCTTGGCAGGTTTGTAGGTTGGTTTCTTTTTTGTTTGGTAGACTGACGAGTTCTTTGAGATGTTCCAAGCTTGGAGTATCTTTTAATTACCCAACCCTACCATAAACGTACCCATAACCATCCTCCTGACCTGTCTTTACTGTCTTTGACCTGCTCTTTACTCTACATTATGTCGTTTGTTCACTTCTACAACAAATCTTATTTTGGGGTTTAACAACAAATGGGCCTTAATACAAATATGTGCACCTGTCATTGGCAGTTGGTATGTGACAAAAATATCCAAATAAAACATGTTTCAGTTTAAGGTTGT